TAATTTTGTATTTTGATTTGTATTTTCAAGAACCATATTATACATTAGTTTTAAACCTTCATTGAAGATTTTATCAGCTTTTTTATTATAACCTAAATCATTAGTACCACCTAATATAATTATCCAATCATAATATGATTTATCTTTATTTGATAAGAGTTTTTCAAGCCTTTTGACCATTGATGGAACAACATGTTCACCACTTACACCATGTTGATCAACAGTTATTGGAATATTGAGAGATGAAAATAAATTTGTTAGTTGAATCGAATATGGATGAAAAGATAAACCATAATCACTATAACCAGCAGTTAATGAATCACCAATTGCAAGAAAACGAAGAGATGATGAAGATTGCATTTTACGTTTAAACGCCAGTAAAATAAATATTATAAAAAAGAAAAAGCCAATGCATAATAATATATTCCATATGTTATTACACAATTTCATCAAGATAAAAGATAAGAATATGTGTCATAGAATAAGGAAAAATCTAAATTAACATTGATTCATTTATTTATGACTTCACCTTGAAATAAATAAATAATATTGACGTTTTGCAAATATACCTACCATTTATTGATTGAAGATAGATGTCTATATCGTTCATTGTATATATGAATAAAATAATCATATGTTCTGTTTTCAAATGAGGTCTCTTCGATAATACGAAAAAGAATTACAAAAATTCTTTCGTTAATAAAAACAACTCGAGTATAACAATTTCGAACTGAAAAATAACTTAATAAAGTCTTTAAATAGAATCACTAAAATGAAACTATAGTTTTTGATCGAACATTAAGATTTCTAAAGTTATCATAGGAATATTCTATAATGGTACAAATTAATTTTAATAGAAAATATCTTTCAATATATATGCAAAATGATTTTTCATCAAAACTTAGAATATTTATTGGACATAGTTATAGTTTTATACATTTATATATGTTTAAACATTTTTTCATGAATCGAAGATGAAATATCATGAATATATTATGAAAAACAAATCGATCTGATCATTTGGTTCTGGGAAGTGAACGAAACACGCTAGTCAAATCAATGTAGTTCATTTTATATAACCTATGTCTAGAAAATCTTTGCACAAAATGCTTGCTCATTTTCAGTTACTTAGAAACAATTAGGAGTATTCAGAATTTGTTGCTTTTTCTGAATATAGGATAAGAATTTTTTATGTTAACTTTTATTAAACAGTAATGAGGAAATCTTTGAAATGTCTAAAAGTATAGTTTGTAAATAAAAATATTTTTCGTAGATATTCACTAGCTGGCATGAAATTGAAATTTGAAAATTTTGTTGATATACCAGCTTGTAGGGCAAAATTTGCTCGAGAAAATCCGTTGTTTGATTTTTATTTTTGTATTCCACGATGATGCCTAAATTTTCATTTTTCATATCAGCTTAGTTTTATGCTATCGACAATTTACTTTGACTTAGCAGATATTTACGGAGATTGTTTTAAAAATTGAAATCTATACTTCATTGCATATCAGATTTTGTAAAACAATGTTTGTTCGTCCTATAAACTGATTCTAATGCCTTGTGAAGATTCGTTCATTGTTTTGGAAAAAAAATAGACACACAATTTTTGAGCGTGTATTCGGGAAGAATATAAGATTCTGATATTGATCTACAGGTTTTCACTTGTCTGAAATGTTTTCAAATAGACCACAAACGAACAAATTCTGAATATTCCTGATTGTTTTTAAGCAACTGAAAAATGAGCAAGCATTTTGTGCAAAGACTTTTTAGGCATAGATTATATTCAATGTTGTATCAAAAGTCATAATATCAGAATAATTTGCTCGTTATTATATAGATATTTATATATTATATTTCTAATGAAATACTTTTATATATCTATTATTAACTATAATTTTTTTATATTGTTTATATGATAAAAACAAAATAAAAGAAAAAAAAGATTGTATAAAATAAAAGCTTAGTATTGTTTGTTTAACAAATTGGAATAAATGTTTTATTGATCCATGTTTTTCTAACACATTGATTGTGATGTATTTCACAAGGTATAACTTTCATTGTTTGAAAAAAGGGAAGTTTAGTTCTTAATCGTTGAAATTTCGAACTCATTTCATTACTTGTTAATTGACAATAATAATCAATTGAACAAATAAATTCTCTTAATTCTAAAAATTTTTCAATAAGAATATTTTGTAAATGTGCATAATCTCGAATTTTAATTAAATTAATAAGAATAAGTGTACATCGTTGAACATAAGGTACAAATGAAATAAGAGAATTAAGAATATTTAATTGACCAAGTTTTTCAGCAAATTCAATTTTTAATATTCGTAAATTTTTATGAGAAAAATTTGTTAAATTATGTGAAAATGTTGATAAAACATTTGATAGACAAATTTCTAATTGTTCAAGATGAGGTAATAATGATAAAAGTAAAATAAAATCTTTTGTTTGACAATTTGTTATAAATAATTTACGAATATTTTTTGAATATTGAAATGAATTGATATTATCATTTAAATTAAATTCAAATAAATTACAAAAATAAAGTTTAGAAAATTGTTCACTTCCAAATAATGTATTACAAAGTATACTTTGATCTTTTTGAGCAATTATTCCAAGCCATAAACGAGAAAGATAAGGCATTGTTTTAGAATTTATTGATAATAATTGTTTCGTTGTTGGAAGATAGATAATTAATGAACGAAGATTTGGAAATATATCAAGATTTAATAATGGATAACGATCAACATGAATATATGTTATTTGATTTGAAAAATAATAAAGTGTAGAAAATAATGATTGATTGATTTTATCATCATTTTGATCAATACAAATACCAGAACGAATATCACGTAAAAGAAAATTTAAACGAAAATTTAAATTAACAAAACCATTAAATAAATCTATTAATGAAATATATTGAAAGATTTCAAGAAGAATTTCATCAGGCATTAATTCAAATCGACTAAATTTTAAAATATATTTTTTTTCACAAATTACTTTTGGTTTCACACTTTTCGTCGTACGATGTGATCGATGAATACATTTTGTTAACTTGCTAAGTAAATGAGGCATAATAATAATAATAATCTACAAAGAAATTTTATAATATTACAAAGATTAGAACCATCTCGAAATATTTATATTAAATAAAAAATATCTTCTTAGAAATTTCTATACTAAGTCCATCTTACATATATATATATCATATGATATGCATGTTCTCTCTTTTTTTCTTGCATGTTTGTTCTTTTTTTCTTATCTTTTTTTTCTCTTCTATTAGAATGCGATTTCTTCATCATCATCATCCCACATGATAAATCTTCATCATTATTGACATATTTCCATGTAATTTTAACATTACAAATTGAATCAACATACCAACATCGATCTATCTATTTCATAGAATACCTAACATGTTTTTATCGTTCAACTATAAGAAAAGAAAAATCACTATGGATGTTTATATTAACGTAAATAAATTTAACCTTACGATTCAAATGTCTATTCTTACTGATAAGAATCAAAAGATACAAACACACCATTATTGTAAATCTAAGAATAGATTTCTTTTCAATGCTTGTTCACAAGATGGGAATGATTTCATCACGATCTTTTCTAATAAATGAGAAGATACAGACAGCTTTGCAGGGTTTCATTTTGAAAACGGCATAATTTTTCGTCTCAAAGCGTAAATATATTCGATTCTAGATATTAAGTTATGTATGCGTAAGGAAACAAACAGAGCGTGACTAAAACACGTTTTACGTGGACAGGTCGTTATGGTCTTATTAAATATTTTTTATGAGTAACAAATCAATCAATATGTAAATTACATAAAAACACGAGAATATTCTTGACAAAAAAAGTTATATGTCGATCAAATATTTATTTGAAGTAAAAAATTTCTAATATCAATAATTATAATAATAAAATATTCAAATAGTTTTATTTATTTACTATTAGTTTTTTACAAAATAAAGGATTGATGAATGAAATAAAAATAATTCGATTATCTTATTATAATAAGAGTGTATAATTAGTATAAATAATATTCTATTGATTTGTATTTCATTTTGTCATTTCTTTGTAAAAATTTCTTTTTATTAAGAATATTGATAGAAGACAGAGTCATCTATGTAAAACTTCTTATTTGTTATTCATTTCTTCATCCAACTGTTTCTAATTTCATAAGATGTTGAATTGATATATTATTTTTCTGATAAAACTTTTCTAAATATGTCAAAGTCAAATATTGGAAATTTAACTTTTTATTGTGTATATACACGTAATCATACTGAAAGTGGAACATTTCAAGGTGTAATTGATGATTTACCTCGGTTAGTTTTTTTTTAATTTAATTTAATTTTCTCTTAATAAATGACATATATATATATATTAATATAGAATATGTGGAATGGGAATAGATTTCGTTTGGTTACTTCCAATCCATCCAATTGGATTAACAAATCGTAAAGGTTCACTTGGTTCTCCATATTCTATAGATAATTTTCGTGAAATAAATCCTGAACATGGTGATCTTAATGATTTTCGTCGTCTTATTTCTGAAGTTCATCGACAAGGAATGCGTTTAATGATTGATATTGTTTTTCGACATACAAGTCATGATTGTTTATGGGCTAAAGAACATCCAGAATGGTATTTAAGAGATGAAACAGTAAATTTTGTTTTTTAATTCTATTTTTTATATATAGAAAATTATTTTTTGTTAAGGGAAAACCAATTGCAATTGTACCTGAATGGTCAGATATATTAGATTTAAAATTTGAAGGAAATGAAAAAACTTTATGGATTGAATTAATTGATATTTTAAAATATTGGTGTGAATTAGGTGTTGATGGATTTCGAATGGATGTTGCTTCCGGTGTAACAATGCAATTCTGGTTAAAAATAAATTCTATTTAAATTTCTAAAATTTGTTTTTTTTTTTTTTCTCTAGGCGTCAAGCTCGGTATGAAGTATCAATGATTTATCCAAATATTGTTTGGTTAGCTGAATCAACTCGGTTACCTTATATTGAAGGTCATCGTTTTAAACGAGAAACAGTTAATACAGATTCAACATTATATGAAGCATTTGATATTTGTTATGATTATGATATTTATGGTGCGTGGCGTGCAGCTATAGCAGATGCTATTCCAATAAAATCTTATCTTGAAATGGTTCGACTTCAAACAACAATATATCCAAATAATTTTATTAAATTAAGATTTCTTGAAAATCATGATCAACAACGTGCTGCACATATTTTTCGTAATAATCGTTTAAAAGGACTTGCATGGACAGGTTAATTGAAATCTTTATTTTTTTATTTTATTAAATAATTTTTTTATTAT